AATAAATATAAAGTTCAAATAAATTATAAAACATGAGGTAAAGTTCTCAGTTTTTAAATGTAATTGTTGCATTTTAAATGTATTTATTTATTTATTCATTGGTCCTTTTATATATTTCTTGTATTTTTAATTCTGTCAGTTTTGGTCCTCCACAGCTGCAAATATCTTGTATGATCAATCTATAGACTTATATTACAACCATTTTAAATACYGTTCCTCCAATCCACAACATTCTCACAAGTCAGTGGTGACTATTAAAATATCCATCATATTCATACTAGTAAAATTACAAGATTAACAAAGTTTGGTTAAATTTTCCCTCAAACAAGRTGAGTCAAAGAGAGTTTTAACTGTTTTAAGTGTCTGTTGCATAACATATTCAGTGTATTTGATTTATAATACAGGTAGCTTTATGCCCCTTTCCTACTAGTGCCACTCCGTGTAGTGTTGGTACGGTYAGTGTCGGAATGGGTCAGTTTGGGTACTTTTCCATTGACGTTCCAGTCTGGTTCCAGTGGGTGTGTTTTGGGAGGTCGGTGGAGGTGGTTTTTGGGTTTTTCGAAAAAAATTTAATGGGCAAAATGAGAGATGGAAACACATTTGATGAATAACTTTTGAAATTTWAAAAATTCACAAAAGTTTGAATTAAAATTGTWTGGAATCACGACTAATGTCACTACTACAATTGGAAAAAATGGCTTCTTGAGTTGTCTTATAAAAGCAGCTTAGACGCAACCAGTGACTCCACCCACTAGCCAATCAGTGACGAACATTGCATTTTGGTGTCAAGTGGGGCCGCTTGGAACCACAATGAAGTAGGTACTAAAAAAAAGACCGGTTCCTTGAATCYGGTCTAATGGAAATGGCTTGTAACCGTACCGAACCGTACMGACACTACACTAAGTGTCCCTTGTGGAAAAGGCATTATTGTAATAGTTTATTGTCAGGAACCATCAAAGTGTTTCACATATCCTGTCAATGGTTCTGTTAGAGTCTGCTCCACATGAAAACACTTGTTTTTTTCATACAGAATGACGATTTTGAAAGAAAAACAAACAAAAAAAAAAACATTGCCTCCCACTAAACCTCAACGTTTCTTCTGTCTGCAGCTGTGAAGGAGGCAGCAGTCCAGAGGAGACACAACCTGTACAGGGACAGCATTGTCCTCAGCAACAGCGACCCCAGCCTCCACCTGCTGGGGGAAAACCCGTCCATTGACTGGGCCGAGACGTACGGAGCGGCCCAGGGGGAGGCAGGAGAACCGGGAGAGGAGGCTGATGCCAACAGTGCAGAGTCAAAGAGGAGACGGATGAAGCAGGTGGTGTCCATGATCCAGGAGGAGGGCTCCGCCTTTCTCCCTGGTGAGTCGTGCTTAGAGGTGCCCAGCGTGGCCGTCATCATGGAGGAGAACGCTGAGGAGTCCTCCTCTGCTGAGCCCAAACTGTCCAGCGGGTCCACCCTGAAGGAGGGAGCAGGCAACGCAGAGCTGCAGACTCAGGTCGTCTCAAAGCTTCATGTAGCTGCAGGAGGAGAGGAGCAGGGAGAAAACAATCAGCCAGTGGTGGTGAAGGAGGAGGTCTTACAGGAGTCTGTCCCATTAGCACCTCCTCTTAATGAAGCTGCTGAAACAACTCCTGGTCCTGTCCTGAAGGAGCCATGTGAGGACGCCCCGCTGGAACCTGAATCCAGCACAGAGTCTGCCATGGACCAGAAGGAGCAAGTTGGCCAGCCAGTGGGAAAGGAGGAATCAGAGGAGGTGGAGCCACCCCACAACAAGGAGGAGTCAGAGGAGGTGGAACCACCCCACAACAAGGAGGAGTCAGAGGAGGTGGAACCACCCCACAACAAGGAGGAGTCAGAGGAGTCAGCTCCAACACTTCTAACTGAAGATTTACCATCTGCAGCCGCTCCAGAAAACCCCCCAGAGCCAGCAGCTGACTCCGCCCCACCTCCACACGATGATAGCGGCTTCCAGTCTCCGACCAACGAGGAGGTGAAGGAAGAGGAGGCGTCCTCTTACAGACCTCAGCCACAGACCTCGGAGGAGCCCTCTGTGAAGGAGGAGACAGGCGTGGTGGCAAACGGACAGCCTGAGGATTGGAGCAGAGAGCAGTGATGAATCTGTTTTAACCATAAAGGACACTTGATGTCATTTTAACCATTTCCTGTTTCAGTTTTCACAGCAGGGGGTCGTTTTCAGACCCTCACATGAGCCTAGAGGTCCCCTAAATATTTTCTTTCCACTTAGAATACGAGCACAATGGGGTCCAACTGGTGGGTTAGAAACACGGATCAGGACTTTTGATTGTGCCACTGGTGAAATTATTGTTGATTTAGTTTGTTTCATCAAGCTTTCTACAGCAGTCAGCTTTTTTTTTTTACTTTATAGGGTTGTTGGAAACTCAGGTTATTGAGCTGCTCTGACCAAGTGTGAAAGCATAAAAACAGGTCCAGATTATTATTATTAGTATTATTTTCTGCTTGATGCTGGCCTCTGTGAGCTACATGACTTATAAAATGTCTGAAGTGATAAATGAATTGTCTCACTCAACATATTTCACTTTTATAGCCTTTCTAAGAACAACACTATTTTATGAATCAGAAAGATCAACAAACCACCAAACTGTCATTTTACATGCTTTTTAAACCATTTCATGAACGTGTTTACTGATTATTTTTTTCACATTATTTATTGTGCATCCCATTATTATTTTGTCTTTTTTTAGAATTATTTTTCTCTTGTTACAAATCAAACCTATTGATAATAAATCATTATTCAAAAACACTGATCAGTTGGTCCTTTTTGTTGATGAATGAGAGACAGGGATGGGTCGGCAAGAACCAATCAGAAAGCATCATTTTCTTCAAAAAGGAGTTTCATTCAAACATTCTTCCAAGCTTGAAAACAACCCTGAATGATTTTTACTATCCATGCAGCATTAATGACCTTTTATCAACCAAAGACAAGCAGGTGATGTTTTTTATACATGGTATTTTATTTTCTGTTAGCAAAATATAACAAATAAGTAGTGACTTTTTTATTTTTACAAAATAAAGACATTCACATCTAACCTGAGGACATTTCCATCTGTAGATCAGATACATTTGAACCATCTGTTGTTATCAGGTACACTAGCAGGAAATTAAGAAACAATTTGATTATGCCTGCAAAAAAGCTGAAGGAAACAAAGGTACACATAAATGAACATTTAACTTAAAATAATGTAAACATGTGAGGCAAGGTTGTTAAAAGAAAAACAAAAACAAACCAAAAAAAACAATAATTTGGACATGGAACCATTTGGATTAGAGCAAAAGAACGGTCTCAGGCTAGAATCAGGAGGGAACAAATAAAATAAAAGGACTAAAACTAGAAACAAAGTGAATTAAAGAATATGGACAAATGGACACTAAAATGTGACTACATGTGAAGACTCAGTCTAAAATGTATAMTGTAGATGGTATGATTGATTTAATTTTTTTCCTGTAGTCAAAGATGTGAATATTATAATGAGGAGTAATTTAATGTATTTAAGGAGCTTTTATTTTTAACTCTCTTTTTATTTCTTGTCCTTTTATTGAAATGAGGGGGCGGCGTGTTCTCTGTGGGTTGATATTCCTCGTAACAGGAAGGACCGTGACCTGACATGACCTCTTGACTAGCACTAGTAGTCCTGTCTCAAAAGTAACTGAACTTTGTTCAGRAAAAGCTTTCGTAGAGACAAATTCTATCCCAGCTCAATAATCTGTTCTTGTTCTGCAGATAACACTGACGTGACAGTCTGTTTTAATCTTTTGTGAGTCGTTTTAAAAAGAAATAAGAACATTTCTGTGACATGATTTTCCTTTTTAAAGGTATTTTACATCTTTTTGACTTATGATCATACTGTAAACTGAATATGAATCTAGTGTTAACTGATTGTTTCTCCTGAACAGATGATAAGCGACAGCTGCATGTTTGTGTGTTTTGACGACGCTGTAAGTCGATGTGATAGATCTTTCCCAGAAAGAAATATTTTTCGTTGGCAGAGACCTGATTATTGTTGTTATGTCTAGAATACAGCTGAACACTAAGTGCAATCATATCGTATGACCTCACTTCAGTAGTAGATTAAAAAGGGTGAGTAAATWAGGCTGATTTGCAAAGTGCAGGTCAGAAACACTTATCCACCTTTCTGTTTGTCTCCTAACAACTGGCTACATCCTGAAATGATCTGTTTCACCACCAGAGGGGACACTTGCCTTGCAGCTCTGCATAATAAAATGTTTGTTTCTGTAAATAAACCGTATAAACACAGAWATGTGTCCATAAATGAGTGGAATGACTGCTGCTCTGACAGTTAATGCTTTGCAGAGATATTAATTGTGGCCAAATAACCCTGTTTTATTGAATAGTCTGTATTTATTTCCCACTCCCATTTCTCTCAGAAAAAAATAACACTAATAATGATGACTGCGCTGTAGATTGATAAGTGCTGAGCTAGAATCTGAATATTATTGTTCTTAATGCTTTTATCTCTTCTATCCACTGAACTGTTAATAATATTGCTAAAATTTCCCTGGTGTATGCTGACAATCCATTAGTAATTTGTTTTCCTTGTGCCCTCTGAAATTCTGTTACGATGAATGCAATTCCTCTTTCCCCCCAGAATTTTTTGATGCATTTGTGTATATGTGAACTAATAGATACTGTGTATTGCTGTACTGTACATGAATTAAAACAGAATCCGTTATCCTTCTGTTTCCCTATGAGTGTTACTATTGCATCTGAWAATATCCATGGTGGTACAGCTGATAATGGAACTACTGGACTAATAGTTTGATTGATTATTTGTACTTCTGCCTTCTTATTATTCACCCACCCAAAACTTATTTTTTCCTTCTTTTTCTCTATTTCCCAGCATGGTTTTGGGATGATCTGGTTTGTTTCCTTGCAAAACAACCCAACGTCAGTTGTGTTCTTCTTTACTWTAATGCGATTTATCCCATCTCCACTTTAATTGCTGTTGTTGGTGTGCTTTTAAATGCTCCTGTAAATATTCCTAATGCTTGATGCTGCTGTTGTTTGGTTTCTCCAGATGTGTTTTTGCTGCTGATCCATGTAGCTGCTTCCATAATCTATTTTTGACTGAATGTAAAAAAAAATTAATGCCCTTCTATCTGCCCCCCAGTCATTTCCCACCCAACATTTCATGATATTTAACACTCTTTTACAATTATAAATATTTTTCTGTATATGCATATTCCATTTTAACTTTCCTTCAAATCAAATTTCCAACTCTTTCTAATTCTTGATTATATAATTTCAATTGAATTCTCTAATTCTTTTTTGAATAAAAACCCTTATTTTGTTTTCTCAATTGAAAATTTTAATCCCCACTCATAACACCATRTTCTCCTGTGTTACTGATAACATTTTGTATGTTCTTGTGAATTTTAGATTTTGACCCCTCTTCCATAAACAATGAGCAGGATTCCTGTCCCTTTTTCATTTTCTGTAAACACATCATTTATCATAGAAATTGTAGGGCTTAGGACTACTTGAAAGCTAATAATTTTAGTCATATTGATAGAAAGTGTCACGTGATGAATGGCAGCTTCAACTCAGCAGCAGGAAGCTGGGAGCCTGACGTCGTGACGTCACGCTGTTACGTGCCTGCCTGGGCTCAGCAGCAGCTGCAGGAGAGTCGGGAATAGTTGGCTGACGTCTGCGCATCACCTGCTCCAAACAGCCGCAGTGTTCGGGTTGTTGGGAGTTCTGTCCTTCCTGAAAGCACCGGGGGATGGAGGGATGATCAGGACCGACCTCCCTCCCCCATCTCCCGCTGCTCTACCTCCGCTCGTCGCTCCTCCGTCGTCCGGGGCTCGGCTGGAGCTGTGTCCGGGATGTGGGCTCCGCTGCTCGGCCGGGCTGCGGTGCTGGCGGCCCTGTTGGCGCTCAGCTCGTGCCTGACAGGTGAGAGGCAGCTCTGACTCCATCATGTCTTCTGTTTATGGCTTCAGTGAGACAGTAAATCAGCTTGAACAGAGGCTACTGCTACAGAAAACATTTCCTCAGACAACAGCAGCTAAAAATAACTGCACCGCTCTAAGCCTGTTTAGTTTAGTCTTTGTTAGGTTCTGTCCAGGTCCTGTTTAAAACACAGCCTTAGTTTGGTGGAAAACAAGTCAGAAAACTACACGGTTGATCTAATGTGTGTGAAGCTGAAGCATCTGTGTACCTGCAGAAAGACACACTCACACACACACACACACACACACACACACACACACACACACACACACACACACACACACA